CGATTTTGATTTCACGATTCGATTCACGATTTTTTTTTAACAAAATGAGATTTAAGACAAATTATCAATTAAATGTGTCCTTTTATGATTGCTTGGACAAAATGCTGCACGTTTCTTTGTGAAACTGAAATATAACACTAATAATATACTAATATAGCACTTGCATATTATTGCGCTTTTGTTGGTTTTGATTGCTTCTCTTCCCCTCACTTGTTAGTCACTTTGGATAAAAGCGTCTGCTAAATGACTAAATGTAAATATATATATATATATATATATATATATAAATGTAAAATAAAAAAGTTGTTTAAGTTTGAATGATAGGTTGTTTACATGTTTATTTGATATAAAGCAGTTGTCCATTCAAGGTTACATTTTTACCAGTTATCACTGAATTGCACAATGTGGCTTATTGCTTTATTTTAAATCGCTATCGTCAGAGACTAAGATGCTTTATGCCTAAAAACATTCCTTTTCAAAGAAATTACCTCATTGTGTGCAAGCATCCATGTCATTCACTTCCAGATTATTCAAATTATGAAGTTTGCTGCGCTGTGATTGGTTGCCAGATTGGCTGCAAGTAAACTGGCATTGACATATGTGAAAGGGCTCATGTTTGCACTTGCATTGTTGTGTACGTGCAGACCAGTGTATGTTAACCCGGTAAAGCGTACGTCTTCTCCTCTGAGGGCATTTCACCCCAGGGCCTCTGCCGTACGTGACTGTGCTGGGGTTCGGCGCCTCCCTCTTTACCGATAACGCTAATGAACTTCCTGTGATTTCTTGTAATTGGGGCACTTTGGGCGGGACACACGTGTGAGCGTGGGCATCGGCTAGGCATGTTGATGGCATTTTTCATGTGTATAGGCTGTGATGTCAGGCACGCTGACATTGTTGCTTCGTGATTGGAGGGAGGAACCATATATCCTCACGTATTGTCTGCGCTAGACAGCTGGCGTACTTGCAGTCGCAGTGCGCATGTGCTTCGCCATCCAGGCGGACACAGATAAAAGATCAGCTTAGATCATTAGGACAGGATGGACACTAGAATAGACGGTTATCAAAGTGTCTCCTCTCTGATGTCCCTGGAAGACCCAGCATGGCATGGTGGGTGTCCATGGGTGTGGATGACAGCGTCTCTCTCAACTCTCTCAAGAACAAAGGGTCAGCTTGTATTTGGACTAGTGTCGACACTCCTGGGACGCAGAGATAAAGAAAGGGAGGGCCGTCTGTCATAAACTGGCACTGCTCATTTAAATCAATCATCCAAAGGAATTTGTTTCCTTTTATTCTGTCATTCTGTTGTCATCCTTTCCAATCTGCTGACTGAAGATTTACTTGAAAAGCACAGAAAACATCACAGTCATCTTCAGAACATTTACATAACCAGTCAGTCTTGTCTGTTCTCATATAATAAACTTTCTTTATTATGATTTCCTACATTTTAGAATAATAGTGAAGTCATCAAAATGGTTTAATAACACAAGTGAATGTGGAGGTTATAGTGACCAGAAATGCATTATACAGAAACCAATCAAACCTGTATTTTAGCTTCTTCAAAGGTTATTCTAACTGGTCCATTTATTTATTTTATTTTATATTATTTTATTTTTTTAAAGCTTTTTTTAAAGAATTTTATAAGTGCACTTAATATTTGTCTACAGGACTAATGTTTGTTCTTCTGTCTGGTCCAATTCATCTCTTTCTAAAACTCTTCTTATTATTTTATTTTTTAATTATTATTATTTAATTTAAAGGGGTCATATGACGTTGCTAAAAAATAACATTATTTTGTGTATTTGGTGTAATGAAATGTGTTTATGCGGTTTAAGTTTCAAAAAACACATTATTTTCCACATACTGTACATTATTGTTTCTCCTCTATGCCCCGCCTTTCTGCCCCGCCTTTCTGAAACGATTGGCCAGCTATCCAGTGTGTTGTGATTGGCCGAATACCTCAAGCGTGTGACGGAAATGTTACGCCCCTTACCATACTGTGATGCCCTGTCCCGGCGTGACGAGACAACACCAATAAAGCCCATTATAAACGAGGCATTTGTTGCATCCAGTGGGGACATAATTACTGATTATAATTACTTATACTGTCTTTTTACGCGTTGCGTCGAAGGGGAAACAGGGGAACTGAATTCACCGGAACACCGGCGTTGTAGGCTACTCTCCCAGGAAACAGTCCTCGTTCTCCGTAAAATGCATTGCACACATCTGAATATGTGGTTAGAACTGTTCTGGAACAGTGTTGTAAATACAACTTAACCACTGATTTCTAGTTGTGTCCTCTTTTGGAAGACCAAACAAAGTAGTTTCGCTTTCAACGACATGGTGGCTGCGGCAGCAACAATACTACAGCGAAAATCAAAGTTAAGCCTTCTTTCTTTGCGTGAACATTTGGGCGGTGTTATGCAAATCTTCCCACACAGTGACGTAGACATGTGGGGGCGTGTTTA